CTTTCCGATCTTCAAACGCTCAACTTGTCGAACCCTATCAGCCAATTGCGCCATATCCCTCAAATAATGGGGATCTAATTTTTTCCTGATAGAAAAGTCCAAACCTCTTGCTGCCATTTCGACCAACTCGTGTTCTGGCACTTATGTGAAGCATCTTGCCTTCAACAAACGGAATCTGTTGAGGTAATCTTCTATGGGCTCACTAAATTTTCGCTTGACATTTGCCAATTCGCTTAGACTAATCTTGGTTTGTCCTACATAAAATTGTTCATGAAACAGCCTCTCCAAGCGAGTCCAATCATGGATGGAGTTCGCCACGAGGGTGGTGAACCAAGTAAAAGCATTTTTTGTAAGCGAAGAAGGGAAGTAATTAATCCTTAGATTTTCATTATTCGCTATATCTCCTGCCTCCGTAAGGTATCTGGCGATATGTTCTATGGTAGATTCGCTAGTATCACCAGAAAACTTGATGAATTTGGGTACTTTCCATCCCCTTGGCAATTAAATTTTTTGAATATATTCTGACAAAGGGGATGTATAATTTGGTCTACACATACCTAAGTTTACCCCATTTCATGCCATAATCCTTTCGACTAAGGCTGCTAGGTTATTGTTTCCCACCATATCATTCTGTCAACAACCCTGAAGGATTTCATCAGCATCTTGGTTTCGATTCACCAAAACTACCCTTCTCCCTAGTTCCTCCCTAGGGATAGCCTGTTGGAGTCTGGGTGGTTCCTCCCTTCGAATTGGTTGTTGAACTTCGGCTTCAGGGTGAATCAAAGGTTGGGCCTGGTTATGGTTGGCTCTTCTTGGAATATGATGCCTTGATTCTCCCTTACCCATGTGGGCTGTGGGGGTGGCTTTCGAACTGCTTCTCTGGGCGCACCAAAGAAATCTGCAAGACGCCCTATTTGCGCTGCCATCTGTTGGTTTGCTTGGGCATTCTGCAAGTTAGTTTGTGTAGTGCTTTGAATTAAAGGGTTGAAAATCGTACACATCTGTTGGGCTAATACACCCAACATCTCGTGGTTGCTATCGTCCATTTGTTGCCTTATGACTGCTTGTGTATTTGTGGTGATAGCAGGTTTTTGGATTGGATGCGAATTGTTTCTAGCCATATTGTTTATCCTAGACCCTGATCCTTGCAATGGTGACAAAGTAGATGTTACGGGACGGGTGTATGTCGACGTATTATTTTGAAATCCCATCATGAACGAAGTTGGCATGCCATATATAGGATTTGATGTTGGGATTGTAAATCCTGGTGGGAAAGTTCTAGACATACCTATCGAAGGCCTGGGTGTTAATGGTGGATTTTGATTGGCCATAGACACAATGGTATGTTCGTTATGGGTGTTTGATGATATAGTCAAAGCGTTTGTATTTTGGGGTATAACTGCAGCGCTTGTTGTCGAAGGGATCGTTGCAGTCCCTTGATTTGCCGTCATCACTTCATTTGTATTCGAAACGCTGGTATTTCCTCCCATAGGAGGGTGAATTTGTTGCGCATCACTAGTGGGTGGGTTAGCCATTCCCCTAATGTGTTGTCCTTTTGGTCTAGGATTTGTATTGTTGGCTAGTTTTCCACTTCTCAATCTCATGCAATTAACAAGTTAAACTAAGATGGACAAAGACACAGATCCCACCGGGTGTGCCAATTTGTTTACCCTCGAATTTTGGTAAACAACCGCTGATCTTCCAAATCCTTTCACGGATCCAGTTACTTGCAAGATCGATCAGGTTGATCTCAGGACACGAGTGTCTTTATTGATCTTTTAACTTGATTGTGTATTTAATATGTTTTGTATATCAAGACAAATGGCTTCAAATGTCGAATTAAAATGCATATGAAGTGAAAGTAAAATTACTTCTAAACTTGAAATGGTAAAAGACTTAAGTAAATATTACTGGAAATTCTGCAGAAAGTAAATGCATTTATATTAAATGGGTGTATCATATGTACATCCTCAATAAACTCATTTCTCCTTAACACTTGGTACTTCGAGTAATTTCTGAGTGATTTGTACAAAGATGTTCACCGTCTAAATCGAAATACTAAAGCCACTATTTATACTACTTCGACCCTAACAGTTTTCTACACGAACTAATGCCACGTTTCTGTTTGCATGTCTTCGACGAACTCAAAGCCTTCCACGCGTCTTTTTGGATAAGATCAAAATATTTGAATTCGAATATCCTTCTTATCTTGAGCGCCAATCTCTGCAGATGGTCGAACGAAAAAAATGTTTGAAACCTTAGCCACATTTCGAATAACAATCTTCATTCAATAATTCGAATTGGTAAACCTTTCCAACGAATTTTACTCAATTCGAATCTCAACCTCTATGACTTCACATAAATAAAGTAGTGGAATATTCTGAAGTATATTCAAGTCTAACTTTAAAATTCTTAGTCGAAATTTCCAACTAACAGATAGCCTACATTAAGTATAAATTTTTTATTAGGAGCAGAGCGTATGCAATTTATTAAGAGCAATATTCTTTTATTATGGTTGATTTTAATAAGTTAATTCATTTTTATTATACATTAGAAAACAATTTTTTATTTGAACGTGTGTATTTAATTAGGAGTGGAGATATGCAATTTATTAAGAATAATTTTCATTTAACTAGGAGTGGAGATATGCAATTTATTAAGAATAATATTCATTTATTTAGATTAATTTTAATAAACTAATTATTTGATAAAACGTAATTAATAGTGGACATTTTTTATTTGGAACATGTGGGTTAACTTTATTAGGAACAATTTTTTTAACTTTTTTATATTATTTTTAATGTAAATAAGTTAACTTCATAATTTAATTAATTAATTATTATTGAAATGATGGTCTTTCAAATCCACAATTTTAAGAAATAAATAAATAAGTTATCCACATAAAACAAATAAAATAAAAAATAAATTATTAAATTATGAAAATGAGCGATTTTAATTAATAATAAATAAACAAATAATAAATTAATTATTTAATATTAATAATTACTAAATTAGCTTTAATTTTGCCTTCAAAATTTTTTTTAAGAGACTTAATAATTTTAATTAATAAGATTAATAAATTAATTATTTGATAAAACCTAATTGATAGTGGACATTTTTTATTTGGAGAGTGTGGATTAAGTTTATTAGGAACAATTTTTAAAATTTTTTAATTCTATTTTTAATGTAAATTAATTAATTAATTAATTATTATTGAGATAGTGGTTTTTCAAATTCACGATTCTAAGAAATAATTAAATAAGTTAGCCATATAAAACAAATATGATAAATCTTTAAATTATGAAAATGAGTGGTTTTAATTAATAATAAATAAATAAATAAATAAATAAATATTTATAATAACTAAATTAACCTTAATTTTGAGTCTAAAAATTCCTTAAAAAATTTAACAATTTTAATTAATAAAATTAATAAGATTAGAGAGAGATATATTATTAACAACAAAATATATTAGTTGAATCTAATAAATGGTGATTTAATTATAATAATTTGAGAGATGTATATTAGTTGCATCTAATAAATGGTGATTTAATTATAATAATAATTAGATAGGGTATGAACGATATATTGACATGTATACAAACATATAAACCTTAACTAACTATTAACTAATTACAACTATAATACACGTAGATAAGCAAAACAATTCATTACTCAAAATCCACATGCAAATTTAGTTACACAATCAAATTGCAAACTGATGTAAACGCTGAGGTTTAGATGAACTGCAGAGCAGTCAATGCAGAGAAATATCACATATGATACTAATGTCCGTGTAGGGTTCTTCACATTACAATCAAAACATGACTGGAAAAAAAAACCCATCACAACTTCATAAATCAAAAGAATGTACACAGATCTGAAACATTGCAGAACTGTAAAACAACGCACACACATAAAATCAAAGGAACTGCATATACCATTTAAATCGGAAAACAAAATGAAAGAGTCGGCAGAGGTGTTTCATCGAATATCTTGTAAGCACTGTCACGTTTTATTATAGTGTTGTGTGTATGCTGTAACTTTAATCCAAACCAAAATCGACATCGAATCAAACCACAATCAAGCTGTAGTATAGTTGAAGTTATATCCAAACTGTGAAAAATCAACAAAACCGTAAAAAAACTTACAGTAACTTATTCGAATCCAAACATAAAATTTCAAATCATAAAAAACTTGCAGAAGGAAATCAAAATATAAAGAAAACATCAAACTTGTTAGAATAACTGAACACTAACCTTAATCGTGAATGAAAAATTAAGAAAAATAAATAAATTGGCAAGTGAAGAAATCAAAGAGGGTGGCTAAAGATTTATTGAGTGGAACCATTAATCCGAGTGTCACTCCAAAAAGAATAACTACATTATTAAATCTAAAAGACTTACCATTATAAGTGTGAATTTAAACAGTACAATACAATATTCTTTTATTCTCTCATCTCTTTTCTATTCCTCCCTTAATCACTATAATTTTGGCTAATTTTATAATTTATTGATTATGAAGGTTAATTTAGATAATAGAGTTAATTTGTACCCAATTTATTTGATGTTAAATATGTTATATAATATAAATTTAAATAAAAATTGGATGGAGCAAGCAGGGTTTTGGTGATTTGGTGTGTGTCCTTTGGTAAGCCCTTTCTCGCTCGCTCTTCAATTGCTATCCGTTGTCAATTCATTCATTCATTCAAGAACTCAACGACACTTTCCGCTTTTCTCTAACGCCAAAGGTAAACAAACACACTTCTGTTATTCAATTTCCCTTTACGATTTCTACGAGGTTCTACTTTCCGTCCCAAATTGCATCGCTACTCTTATTGCTATACAATCAACTTGACTTGTACTTGAATTTCATCAACACAATAGGACATGTCTGTAATCTTATCTTTTAGTCTTTACCTCATGTTACTCTCTTTCCGCTGTCTTGTTCATTGCTTCTCTTTTGTGTTTTAATTTTATAGCAGATACACTCTTATTACAATGATTGTATCTGGGTTGAGTGCTACTCTCTCAAGATGCCCCCAACTACCTCCTCGTGGCCTAGAATCACGCCGTGTTCGGGTCAGCCCTTTTTCTGTTGCTCGTAGTTGTATTATACAAGGGACTCATTTTCCTGGAGTTGAAAGGTTTGCCTTATTATTCATTACCTCTTGAATTTGGAACTTGATGCAATGGTTAACAATTTTTTGTTTTCTTCATCCTGTCAATTTACAGAACAAGTTTTTCATCTCTTAGGATAAAATGCAATAGACCACAGGTTCAATTGGTTACAAGTGCTATGGATGCTTCATTTGGTGATACTTCAAATGATTCTACGGGTAACTTTTCTATCTTGTTGAAACTCAATTCTGATGTTTGGTTCTCTCTTGAATGCTAGACTACGTGTTTTGCCGGTGGTCTTGCTCATTGGTTTGTTGAGTTGAAACACCATCTCTTCCTCCTCATATTGCTTGAGACATCATTAATAATTGTTTGTGTCTGAGAAGTGAACTAAAATACAACGAAAATTGAATGATGCATTACAAGACTGAGAGGGTAAGTGGCTAAACCATAAGGAGTTCAAGGAGGAAATTGTTTTTCAGTTTAGTTTTGTCTTATTTTTCTTGGCGTGTCGGGTGCTGGTGACTGTTTTCCAGTTAAATAACTGTTTTATGGATGACAGTTAGATAGTGCCTCACTCTCGGGAGTAGACCCTCTCTTGTTAAGTTTTTCACAAGTCCTCGCCTTGTTACCTGAAAATCTCTCTCTCAATTGTTATTCATATATTTTGATGGAACCCGCTTATTTAATGTCTAGAGACAGAATCTCACATAACACGGTCTTACCTGAACATTCATCCATTCACACCATTTTACCACAATATGTAAGACATGTTTACTTGCATATCTTAGGGGCGACCTCTCTGTATCGCATTCACAGGAATCAATACCTTGCATATGATATTTGAACAACCTTATATAAAACCAACAAAATATTATAGCCTAACTTATTGTTTTGCTGCTCCTTTGCCACAAATGCAGCTGTTTTCCCAAGAATTAGTGTGAGTGATCCGTATAAACGACTTGGAATAAGCAAGGAAGCTTCTGAAGAAGAAATTCAAGGAGCTAGGAACTTCCTGATCCAAAAATATGCAGGGCACAAGCCAAGTATAGATTCAATTGAGTCAGCTCATGACAAAATAATCATGCAGAAATTCTATGAGCGTAGAAACCCAAAAATTGACTACAAGAAAAAAATTAGGGCAGTCAATCAATCCCGATTTGTTCAGGCTGTCAGAGGCAGATTTCGCATTCCATCCACCATATTCATTATAAAAACTTCACTGGCATTTTTGTTACTTGGTGTTCTGACTGTTTTCTTTCCAACTGAGGAAGGGCCAACACTTCAGGTAGCATTATCTCTGATTGCCACAACGTATTTCATATATGATCGGCTGAAGAGCAAGTTAAGAGCTTTGTTTTATGGGTATGTAAACAGTGATTTATCTCATTCTTCTTAATATGTTAAGCACACTTCACTTGACACTTCACCACTGGATAGAACATTATGGCGGAAGTTGATCTATGTAGCCGATCCCACTTCCTGGGATAAGACTTGGTTGTTGTTGTTGTTGTTGTTGTTGGCTGATGCGTTTTTTTTATTTTTAGGGTTGGAGCATTTATCTTTTCGTGGCTATTGGGAACCTTCTTGATGGTGTCTGTAATTCCTCCTATTCCTATAATTAAGGGACCAAGAGCATTTGAAGTGATCTCATCATTGATAACATATGTTTTATTGTGGATTTCATCAACCTATCTTAGGTAAAGGCTAAAGCTATGTATCTCAATTTGACTGCTGAGTTTGTAGTTGAGGACTAGTTTTTGCAGTGGAAGTTTACAAAATGTCATCATTTAACCTTATTTAGATGTCAAATTATAGCGTTTCTTGTTGAATCGGGTTTTGTTTTCTTTGCCTTTTAAATGAGCATACGAACTGGAATTTTAGAGGCAAAACAATGATTGTGTTTTGTTACATATCTGGTGTTCAGCTTTCAAATTTACATACTACATTGGCCATGTTCTTATTTTGACATGAGTAAATGACCAAAGCTTTTCTTGTTGTCTATACTATCAAATTATAGTTGTTTACTAGTTTGCTTATACAAATTAAAATGCAAAATTTTCTTGCTTAAGCATTACTCTTAGTGAATTTTCTCATGAAATTGAAATTAATCAGAAGTTTTGATCTTACCCTTTGCATATAATTTCCCTTTGAGAAAAACAATGGAAAGAAAAATGCATTATTCCAAGTAATTGTTTGTTGAGGTTGTTTTGTTGACTAAGAAAATTCCAACCGGCAATTCAACTCAACACATTACTTGTATAAGCATGTATTTCAAGATGACAGCTCTCATCACGCACGCACGCACACTCACTCACGAGCATACACACACACACACAAAATGACTGTTGAAAGGAGACATAAAAATGTTTCAAAAAATTGACTCACTTTCTTGGCTCAAGCCATCCTTCCACTTAAGTTTTGAAATCATGTCTTTCAAGCTGCAGCTTACCTTTTGAAATCATTTCCAATTTTCACTCAAACAACTAGAAAATCTTGACTTAATCCCTTGGCATTATATTATGTTTCGAATCAAGTTTCAAAACTAAATGCCCAATTTTCACTCAAACAACTAGAAAATCTTGACTAATCCCTTGGCATTGTTGTATCTCATCTATCCAATGGTGGCCTATTCCTCTAAAACAAGGAAAGTTAGAGAACTTCTTGCTAAGAGAAATATGAGTGATGCTAAAGGTATATCCACTCCCATGGTTTCTAATCTCAAATTTCCTAAAATAAGCTCTGATCATCTCAAATGACCTTACCTACTACATGCCAGTGGCTGGAGTTTTGCAATATGTCACAGTTACCATACAAAAACTCAGTTTCTCTATAAACAAAGCTTTCCAATTTTTCTCCAAACTCGTGAAATCCATTGAACCGTAGTCTAAAGAATTTTGAAATATCTTAGAGGCATTCTCTATCATGGGCTGCTACTCAGTCCTGCTTCACCTTCAATACCTTTCTTTGTTACTGCCTTTTATTACATTGATTGGGAAGCTAACTCAAATAACAGGTGTCCACTTCAGGATCTTACATTTATCTTGGACCAAATCTTGTCTTCTGTAAGTCCAAGAAACAAACCTAGTTGAGCTCAAATGTATTGGTCAGGTCTTAGTACTGAAGTTGAGTATAAAAGCTTATCCAACACATAAACAAAAATTCTTTGGCTACAATCACTTCTAATTGAACTCAAAGTCCCTATTACTACTAATTGAACTCAAAGTCCCTATTACTACTCCTAGCCTATTTTGTGACAATTTGAGCACCACACAATCCTGTGCTTCATGCCAAAACAAAACATATATAGATGGATATCTTTTTCCTAAGAGAGAGAAAGAAATCAACAAAACACTAGTAATTCAGCATATACCAACTACATAACAATATGTTGGCCTACTAACCAAACCCCTCTCTTAAGTTTTTAACAATGAGGGACAAACTTAGAGTTGTTGACAAGGATACCCTCTCAGAGAAATCCTCTTAATGGGAAATACTAGAGTAAATATACTAGGTCTATTAAGCTGAACAAATTAGCATTGTTTGGAACTGTCCAGAATGTAGTAAAAATGAAGTTACAACAAACTCTATGTTGAGTCATCATAGCTTAATTACACTAGCCTATAAATAACAGTAAGTTATTTTCTGTAGTAATTGAATTATTTCTATCAATTCAATAATATCTTCAACAAAATTCTCTCTTTTCCTATTTCTAGAATATTCTAGATGATGAAATCTTATCACTCCCTACTTTCTATTTGGGCAACCACTGTCCGGCCAACTCCAGAGGAAGAAGCAATAGCTAAATAATAAACAATAACGACCAAGAAAAATGATAATTGAATAATAAATGTAAGGAGCAGAACTATTATCAGGGGATGAAATCATCATACACTCAATAAAAGCATTCTGTGTACAAATATGTTCAGCCATATGATTGTTGAGTTAATTCAAAGTGTGATACATATTTCATGGAGTCATAATTTATGGTCTGATGCACCACGCATGCAATTAATCATATATAACTCCTTCCTGTGTCGATGCATTCAGATAGCCATAAGTCCATATCATCTTGAACCTTTTGCCTTACTTTATGAACTGCATCAGGGGAGCTGCAATTCTTCTCATTACCTGGAAAAACAAAAATCACAACCAGAATGTTGTTTGATATACGACAATTATGCATGTAACAAGCAACAACCACAATTTGCATCTACATCTAACATGGCATTTTAATACTATTAATTTTAATCCATTTTTTATCCACGAGATTTGTTAGATGATGTTTTTGTGATCATGCAATTCAGACACTGATAAAGGATAACAGTTACAAAGTTAGCTCCTACGAAATTGCAGGTTATAAATTGGACATCGAAAAGAATTCAGAATGACATTAATTTAAGTGATAATGTTACACATACCTTCAATGTTTGAAGGAGATTGAGGACATCCACTCAAATCAGTACAATGGCCACAGTTATTACACGTGATAAGGTAAGAAGGCACTGAAAGATTTTAACTTTTAAGTCAGTAAACAGCATTCAATGAACAGACAAATAAAAATGTTTTGCATTGCATTAACTATATACTTTATAATTGTATGATATGATAAGACTCGGAACTCTTCTTTTCCTCTTTATTAAATAAACAAACCGAAGACTATAACTAGATAATATGGCTATTCTACAGACAACTAAGGTGGCGTTTCTAGCACACAACTTAAGTTTTGGAGCATGGTATTGTGGCGAAAGCGTAAGCAACAAATCAGTGGACAAAGCTGAGAATAGTGGCTGCGGTGGTGGTGCTGAAATAGTATCTTGGCGACAGTAATCAACCACTTATGTATTGTGGCATATAAAACTTAAGTTATGTACCGTAAATGCCACCATAAACTGAACACATTACTCGGTCAAACTTGGATGGGAAATCAGTTTGTCAAAAGATGACCATCAAATAAACAATTCGTGTTGGATTCTAGACAAATGAAGGCTGACAGAAAAAGTAAATGACAACTCACTATCAGTGGAAGAAGTTTGCTTGGAAGCATGACGCCATGGATCCTGTGAGCCATTTGTAAATATTATTTTTGAACCTGTTCATACACATCAAATAAGGAGATATATTCATTCAGGTGGAATTTAAGATGGTTGAATAAAAGTATATTCAAAGTAAAACCATAAAAGAAATGTGTACCATGTAGTATCCAGACATGAGACCCCAAATACAGATGATAACATAAAAAGAAATAACATGTGCATACTATGGTAACGTAAGAGAGTCATGTAAACACATTGTTGATAAATTTGTACATATATCATTAATAATAAGGGGAAAAAGAGACTAGCAAAAAAAAATCAGGTGTAGGTTAGTTACTAGACCGGCAATTTTTGTGCCTCCATAGTATAAATTAGTGGCATCAACATCAGGAAAGACGCCATCTCCAAAGACATTTTTGCAAAGGTCCAAATGGTATCTGCATTGCATGAGAAACCATTTCGTAGAAGTTAACAAAATCCCAGAGAGAAAAAACTTCAATATAATAAAGACGTATAAAACAGTGGAAAAGAATAATGGAGTTGCTACTCTATTCACAAATGATTTCCAATATTCAAAAGTATCAAATCTACATTGTATTCTCCTATCTCAACAAACTAACTAACTAACTAACTTCTATAACAACCCTTGACTACATTAACTACCATAACTAACCACTATTCTACATCCTAACAGTATATCAAATATTGGAGATCAATAACTTACTTTGTGTCAACTTTTGAGGAACGTATGCTATCATTTGAAGGAGCCACCTGAAAGTAAGCAACTTCAGTGCAAACTTGAAACCACCATAATCGAGAAGAACTGTCTTCATCGATTGCAGTTCTTTTCAAATATTCCTGGTCATAAATTTGTACATTGACGCCAAAGGTTCCAACGTAGTACTCTTTGACATATTTGGCATAAACACCCTGCATATTGAATTATATAGTTTTCAATTATAGAACATAACATAAGCATCCATTTATATTTGGCTTAAGAAAAAAGAAAAAAGAATTATGAAAAACATACCACTAAATCCTCGCCAGCCTTCTTTGCATCAACCAAAGGGTTGCATAACTTATCTGGATTTCCATATTGAAACTGTAACATTCAAAGATCAAGAAAAGGGAAGATGATATAATGAGCTTGAGTACAAGGAATTGCAATGCATAAGAAAAACAGCTACTGTCATATGACTTACCGCTATAACAGCGGCATCAGCCAGATAATATAAGAAGTCTCCATCAACTTCAAGCTACAAAGTAAGGCAAGTCAACTTACAGCATGGGAATATAACTAAAAATTGTAGTTCTATTAGGGAACATGATTCATGTTTCGGAGAAGACTAAAGTAATTTTGCAAGGAACAAAGCATACATCATCTGCATTAAAAATTGCCCTCAGTGCCTTTCCATCGGTTGCGAGTTTTGTTTCGATGAGTTGAGTAGTTTCTTGTAATGCTGCTTTACACTCAGCACCAGCTGACTCGCCGATCTGCATATAGATAGAACTCATGACTCAATTTGTCAGAACTTAAATAAGAAGGAACTTTGAGCTACTAAAAATAAGTATCTTCACCTGTTGATCAAATTCTGTGAAGTCTTGAATAGCACGAACAACTGCAGAACTTGCAAGACTTCCGCATGTTAAATGGGGAAACTTAAGACG